AACAAACGAAGATTAATATGTAAGTTAACTTTTAACTATAAAGTCAAGTAGGAGACAAAATACTCTTAGCAAGTGCTTCAGCCTAGAAAACCAGCGCTAAAAAGATTCTCACTCCATCTGTTGTTGTTAGGACTGACAAGTCGAGGTGGTATGTAGTGAGCTGTGAACAACAAATCTAAGCCCTGCTGTGTCCTGCACCGTCCTCATGTCCTCCTATAGGCTCGAGCCCCCTTTCCCAGCGTGACGTCTCTTTCCAAGGACTGACTTCTCCTAGACTGGTCTATAACCTGACATCCTTGTCTTTGGCCCTGCTGCCCAATCTGTTAATGTTCTATTATCACCCTCTGTGGCTGCGCCCTAGATACACCCCCTGGGGATCTTGTGAAAATGTAGGTTCTACTAAAGTCTATCTGGGGTGGAAAAGGAAGTTCTCGGCAGCAAATAGAAATGAACCAGTTGGAAGTCCTGCTTAGAATAATACCATTTGCAGGTTCCTGAATGTATCAATGTGTTAGGGCTTGGAGGTGTTTACTTTTATGTAGCAAGTGTCTTGAGCTGCTGTGCTCTCCAGCTGCCTACAAATAGACCTAAAGGATTCGTTAGCTCACGGGGGACGTATCCTCGGGCACCATGCCTCCTCTTCTTCAGGGAGAAGTCCTTGCTGGTTCTTCTCTGGGGCCACTTTCTGTACCCACAGCTGTCAGGGATCTACACTGTGGAGGTGGAAGCATCTGCTGTGTTTCTCTTTTGAGCACTTGCATATAAGAATGAAATAATTGTCATGGAACCCTCTAGTCCAACGCCTGTCATATCAGCTTATTCTCCAGCCTGCTTCGACGCGCACTTCTGAAAGCAATGTTGTGCTGGGGAGAAGCCAGGGTCTAGGGGGACGGAACATGAGCAAACGGAGTTGTTCTGGGCTCAAACTCCAGCTGTGCCTCTCACCTGCATGCCACCCACCTATGTGCCTCCCACCTGAGTGCCCTTCACACGCGTGCCTCTTACCTGCCTGCCGCCCCACCCGTGTGCCTCTCACCTGCATGCCTCCCACCTGTGTGCCCCTCACACGTGTGCCTCTCACCTGTATGCATTCCACCCACGTGCCTCTCACCTGCATGCCTCTCACCTGTGTGGAACCAGGACCAGTCCTGAACTTCTCTGAGCCCTGGAGCTGGATTTTGACACCATCGATCAGTTTGGATTATTTTTGGATTTTGTCTACATGGGGGGGGGGAAATGCAGCATGTGTTCCTTTTACAGATGTCTGTCACTCAACATTGTGCTTGTGAGAGTCCTTTGAGTCGTTTTTCATGGCAGTCATTTCTTCTATTCAAATCAACAATATCGCACATTATTTGATCATTCCACTGTGCTCTCTGTAGCGCACTGTGAGGTAATTTCAGCTGTGGGATGATCACTAGTACAGAGTCTTGTATACACTTGAATAAGATCACACATCAGTCCTCCAGATACTGGGATTATCCATAAGAGAGGTAATTGCCACAGAAAAAGGAATCCTTCTGAACTTTCAATCAGCCTGGCCTTCAAACTGACTCCGGACGAGGGAGGGAGGGGTATCTGACAGAAGGACTGCGCGTCTGTACAGTTTTGGCAAAGGCAGTAGCCCAGCAGAGGTGGGGGTGGGGCCTTGGCCGAGGTGGCCCCGCAAAGTTGTGCCAAATTCAGGACCTTTGTCCACCTTTCATCTATTAACACTTCTGGATCCTGAGAAGAGAGTGTGAGTTGGGAGGAGACATCTTCTTTCTATGGGAGAGAATAATTGCCAAAACTCGTAACACTCCCAGTGACTGGAGAATGGTGTTCTGGTCCTAAATCGTGCGTGTGCTCTCTCTCCGCACTTGTGTAGTCTGCGGGAGATGTGAGTGTAAGTATTACATCAAGTACCAATTAGTGAGTTTATTATTTCTAGACACTACATTCCTAGTTCATAAGAAATGCATTTTTATTCTGTACCTTTGAGTCAGAACTGACCCGTAGCTGACCCTCCAGCAAGTGTTCAGAGGCAGTAAATTACATGGGAGCCTGTTTCCTACAGAGCAGCTGGTAGATTTGAACTACATGCCTTTGGGGTTGATAGTACAATTCCTAACTACGAAGCCCCAGAGCTCCAGAGATATGTGTGGGAGTCCTTAATGGGAAAACCTACCACCACTGAGTGGACGATGATGCCCGGCGCCCCTCTGGGCTCCCACTGCTGTGACTCAGAACGGGAGGGCACTGGCCTGCCTCATCTCCTCCCTGGATTTGGGGCCTCTTTGGAGTTGCAGCACGTGACGCACTGTGCGACCAGAGCACCTCTGTGGCACCAATCTGTGGCCAGAGCACTTGATGCCGGCTGGAAGGTCGGAGGTTGGAGTCCTCCCGCAAACACCTTCGGGGATGGTCATGTGATCTGCCTCTGAAAGCCAGCCACTCCACACCCTGCGAGGCAGCTCTGCTCCCACACACGTGGGGGCGCTGCGGGGAGTCGACCGCCAGGTGGGAAGTGAGAGGGTGGGAAGGTGAGTGGGTAGAGATGGTTTCTTGCGTAGTAGCTGCTGTCTGTCTGTGTTCCAAAGTGGAGGCCCCCACAGCTGTCTTTACAGACTCGAAGATGTCCTGGTGGGATTCTGTGCTCAGCAGTGGAGAAAAATGTATGGGCAGGACACAGATATGTGCGAGTATGACAGTTATCAAAGAAAACCCACTGCCGTCGATTTTATTTCATCTTACAGTGACCCTGCAGGATGGAGAACTGCCTCCTGGGGTTTCCAAGGCTGTGCATCTTTATGTAAGCCGACCATATGTTTGACGGCACTGACCGTGCCCTTCACTGAACTGACAGTGCCCAATGGCTGCACTGACTATGCCCTTGCCTGCACTGACCGTGCCCTTGATTGCACTGACCATGCATTGACTGCACTGACCATGCATTGACTGCACTGACCGTGCCCTTGACTGCACTGACCGTGCCCTTGACTGCACTGACTGTGCCCTTGACTGCACTGACCGTGTCATTGATTGTATTGACCGTGTTGTTGACTACACTGACCATCGTTGACCATGACATTGCACTGACCATGCCATTGACTGTACCCTTGACTGCATTGACCTTTCTCTGTTAGTCCAGTGCTTAACTCACTGCTCCACCAGGATTCCTTGAGAAATTATACACATTAGCAACATGGTCTACGTTGTGGAAAAAGGAAATTTTGAGAGTGATTGGAATGGGTGGTTAACATTCTATTTTCCTACGATTTGGGCTGCTTGTGTCTTATTTTTATTATTACTTTTAATGAACATTTACAGAGACTTTGGATTTCCATTCATTCATTGTTGCACTTTTCTCCTTGCCCACCCCTCCCCCCCAGTTCGCTCTTCTCTTTGAAAAGTAAAAGAAAAAGTCTTTCATTGTTAAACAGTCCCTCCCCACAAGTCCACTCCACTATGTAGCCTTCATTCTGGACTCCTGTCATGACAATAATACCGAATCACATATCCTTGTTAAACAGTTCTTTCCCTCATCTGTTTCAATGCAGGATACATAATTTATCCCATCTTTCTCAGTGTCTCCCCAGCCCCGATGTCAGTCAGTCCCGTTTTACAACAGTGACACTATGCAGTGTTTGTCCTTTGTGTGTGTGTGTGTGTGTATACATTCAATGATTTACTAATTACAGATACCTTTTTTCCATTCATTCATTGTTGCACTTTTATGCCTGACCACCCCTCCCCCCTACACTCTTCTCTTTGAAAAGTAAAAGAAAAATTCTTTCATTGTTTTACAATCCCTCCCCCCAGGTCGACTCCACTATGCAGCCTTCATTCTGGACTTCTGTCATGACAATACCTAATCACATCTTCCACCAACCCCGATGTCAGTCCTGTTTTACAACAGTGACACCATGCAGTATTTGTCCTTTTGTGACTGAGATACTTCACTCAGCATAATGTCCTCCAGGGTTACCCATTTTGCATACTATTTCATGAGTTCCTTGTTTTTCAATGCTGCGTAGTATTCTATTGTGTGAATATACCAGAGTTTCTCTATTCATTTATTTGTTGATGGGCACTTAGGTTGTTTCCAACTCTTTGCTATTGTGAACAAAGCCACAATAAACAAGGGTGTGCATAAATCTGTTTGGGTGGCAGTTCTGCTTCTTTAGGGTATATTACCAGTAGTGGAATTGCCGGGTCAAATGGTATTTCTATTTGTAACTTTTTGAGAAAGTGCCATACCGCCTTCCACAGTTTTATGAATAAGTATTTTCTTCCACATTTTACACCCCATCCAGCAGTGAATAAGGGTTCCAGTTTCTCCGCACCCTCGCCAGCATTTGTTGCTTGCTGTTCTGTTAAATTTTGCT